GGCGGGGGTCACAGGCGGGGTACTGGCCATTCTCGGGTCCATGCTAGAGGAAGACCACGTGCATGTGAACCACAATTATGTGCACGTGGAGACAGTTGTACATCCCTCGTACACGGATGAGCTCTCGGTCGCCCTCGTAGACGCTGGGCTGGGGGTGGGCCTGGGAGGGCCCATGCTGGCGCAGTGGCAGGCCAGGGAATGGTCATGCACAGGGCCTCCGGTGGAGACATGGTCAAGGCAGCTTCTCGTGGATATCAGGGAGAGGCGCGAACTACCCTCGCTGGCCCAGCTGGATGCCCATCGGGATCTGGAGGCCTCGGCCCTGCAGGCGCTTGATTGGGCTGCTCCCCGAAGGCTTCCGGCAGTACTACACGCGGACGACCCGGTGCTTCTAGCCAGCAGTATAGGGAGCATGCAGGGAGCTCTGGAGGCGTTCGCAGCGTGGGCTCACAAACACAAGGCCAGCCCTCACACCAAGGCTACCAAGCACGTGGCCATGGTGTCGAGGGGCCGCCGGTCCCTCCAGGCGTCCCAGAAGGAGGAGCTTTTGGTCCTTGCTCTAGTGGGCCAGGAGCCGATGCCCATCGCCATGGTGACCAAACATCGCTGGCTGGGTCTCCCATGGCGCAGCGACTTGGATCTGCTGGCCATGGGCAGGGATCGAATCAGCGCTGCGGCCTCCCATGTCTCCACGCTGGCGGGCTTGGTGACCCGCGAAGAGCTTCCACCACGGCCGGCACAAGGCTTAAGAACTTCGGTGGTTCGGGAAGGGTACCCTTATGTTCTTCGTTTTTGTTCCATGTTCTTGTGCACCCTGGGGGAGGGTATCCTCGATGTTCTTCAGTTTGGCGCCATTGTTCCTTCGTTCTGACAAAGCTGGGGTTCGGGGCTCACGATTCGGCTACGAGCGTCCGCGGCGGGGGCGGGACCCTCCATGTTCTTCGGTCCCGAAGTCACGGTGCGGCCTTCAGCAACCGCGTGCCCCTTCATGATGGTGGTGCGATTGCAATCACCCTCGCATGTTCTTAGGGGACTGTTTGGCGTTGGTGGGCTTCGGGCTGCGGGGCTTAGGGCGTGCGGATGCAGGCTTGATTGAGGCTGCGTACGCACGTAGGCCGCAGGGCTCGCGCGTCCGCGGCACGGGCAGGACCCTCCATGTTCTTCGGTTTCGATGTCAAGGTGCGGCCTCCAGCAACCGCGTGCCCCTTGATGATGGCGGCGTGAGTGCAATCACCCTCGCATGTTCTTAGGGGAGAACTTGGCGTTGGTGGGCTTCAGGTTTCGGAGAGTAGGGTGCGCGGCTGCAGGCATGAGGCTAGGGCGGGCGGGCGAAGCCACGCGCAGCTTCCTGGGCTGCGGCAGGGCTGAGAGGTTGGATGTGCGGATGACGTTCAGGACGTAGCGCTGATGTCGGTCCTATGCTAAGGCCCATGGGGTAGGCCGCAGGGCTCGCGCATCCGCGGCGCGGGCAGGACCCTCCATGCTCTTCGGTCTCGATGTCAAGGTGCGGCCTTCCGCAACCGCGCCCCCCTTGATGATGGTGGCGCGAAAGGAATCGCCCTCGCATGTTCCTAGGAGAGAGTTTGGCGGTTGTTGGGCATCAGGTTGCAGGGCATACGTGCGGCTGCTAACTTGGCGCTAGGTCAGGCGGGCGAGGCCACGCGCAGCTTCCTGGGCTGCGGCAGGGCTGAGAGGTTGGATGTGCGGATGGCGTCCAGAGAGTAGCGCTGAGGTCGGTCCTATCCTAGGGCGCATGGGGTAGCCCGCGGGGCTCGTGCATCCGCGGCGCGGGCAGGACCCTCCATGTTCTTCGGTTTCGATGTCAAGGTGCGGTCTCCAGCAACCGCGTGCCCCTTGATGATGGCGGCGCTCGAGGAATCGCCCTCGCATGCGATGAGGGGGCTGTTTGGCGTTGGTGGGTTTCAGGCTGCGGGGCCGAGAACCTCTGAGAGCCTCTGAGGGCATATGACAGCTTCTGAAAGCCTACGAGAGCCTCCGAGAGCATCCGAGAGCCTCCGAGAGCCCCTGAAAGCCTCTGGGAGCCTCCGAGAGCTTCCGAGAGCCTCCGAGAGCTTGTGAGAGCCTCCGAGAGCCTCCGAGAGCCTCTGAGAGCCTCTGAGAGCCTCCGAGAGCCTCTGAGAGCTTCTGAGAGCATGTGAGAGCCTGTGAGAGCTTCCGAGAGTCTCCGAGAGTTTCTGAGAGCCTCCGAGAGCCTCCGAGAGCCTCCGAGTGCTTCCGAGAGTTTCCGAGAGCCTCCGAGAGCCTCCGAGAGCTTCTGAGAGCCTCCGAGAGCCTCCGAGAGCTTCCGAGAGCCTCCGAGAGCCTTTGAGAGCCTCCGAGAGCCCCCGAGAGCTTCCGAGAGCTTCTGAGAGCCTCCGAGAGCTTCTGGGAGCATCCGAGAGCTTCTGAGAGCTTCTCAGAGCTTCTGAGAGCCTCTGAGAGCCACCGAGAGCCTCCGAAAGACCTTGAGAGCCTCTGAGAGCTTCTGAGCGCCCCCGAG